GAAGAGTCTAGTTCTGTAATTTTCTTTTCCTTAGAAATGTTTTCAAATTTTCTCCCTAAAGGAAATTCCTTGTTTTGTTTGCCTTTTCTTGATAGGGATTGTAACATGCTAAATGAAGACTGCCATATATGCTATCAGATTTAGGTGTGCCATCAGTCAGTTTTGCTTTAATATTTTTCTTAGTTATTCTTAGTGGGAACTTATCAGGCAAAGACAGTAGTATAAAATACAAGAAGAAATCAATAAAACGAAACTAAAGGAAAATGAAGAGGGGGAAAAAAGAGTAGATTCTCTGGAGTATTTATAAAGTAGAGCTTAAGCAACCATCAAAACTACTTGGTACTGGCTAAGAAATAGAGTAGTGGATCAGTGGAATAGGTTAGGTATGCAAGACTCAGTAGTCAATAACTATAGTAATCTACTGCTTGATAAACCCAAAGACCCCAGCTTCTGGGATAAGCACTCACTATTTGACAAAGACTATGGCAGAAACTAGGCATAGACCAAAATCTCACCCCATTTACCAAAATAAAGTCAAAATGGGTTCATGATTTAGATATAAAGACTGACACTATAAGCAAACTGGAAGAGCAAGGAATAGTTTACCTGTCAGATTTATGGGGAACAGAAGAATTTATGACCAAACAGGAGATAGGGAATATTATGAAATGCAAAATGGATAATTTTGATTACATTAAATTGAAAAGGTTTTGCACAAACAAAGCCAATGCAACCAAGATTAGGAGGGAAGCAGAAAACTGGGAATTTTTACAACCAGTGTCTCTGATAAGGGCCTCATTTCTAAAATATTTAGAGAACTAATTCAAATTTATAAGAATACAAGTCATTCCCCAATCGATAAATGGTCAAAGGACATAAATAGTTTTCAGAGGAAGAAATTAAAACTATCTATAGTCATAAGAAAAAATACTCTAAATCTCTACTGATTAGAGAAATGCAAATCAAAACAACTTTGAGGTACCATATCACACCTATCAGGTTGGCTAACATGACAAAACAGAAAATGATAAATATTGGAGAAGATGGGGGAAAATTGGAACATCAATACAATGTTGGTGGAGTTGTAAACTGATCCAACCATTTTGGAGAGCAATTTGGAATTATGCTGAAAGGGCTATAAAATTGTGGTTACACTTTAACCCAGCAATGTCACTTCTAGGTCTGTATCCCAAAGAGATCATTAAAAATGGGAAAAGGACCCACTTGTACAAAAATATTTATAGCAGCTCTTTTTGTGGTGGCCAAGAATTGTAAATTGAGGGTATATACCCATCAATTGGGGAATGGCTGAACAAGTTGTGGTATATGAATGTAATGGAATACTATTGTGCTATAAGAAATGATGAGCAGGCTGACTTCAGAAAAACCTGGAAAGACTTGTATGGACTGATGTTGAGTGAAGTGAGCAGAACTAGGAGAATGTTGTACACGGTAACAGCCATGTTGTGTGATGACTAACTTTGATAGAGTTAGCTCTTCTTAGCAGTGCAAGGATCTAAGACATCTCCGAAAGTCTCATGATGGAAAATGCTATCCACATCCAGAGAAAGAACTATGGAGTTTAAATGCAGATCAAAGCATTCAGTTTGCTCTTTTTTTTTCTTTTCTTTTGTTTTGTTTTGTTTCCTCTTTCTTGTGGTTCCTCCTATTGGTTCTAATTCTTCCTTAGAACATAACTAATGTGAAAATATGTTTAATAGAAATGTATATGTATAGCCTTTATCAGATTTTGCGCTGTCTTGGGGAGGAAGGGGGAGAAAAATTTAAAACTCAAAAGCTTATGGAAGTGATTATTGATAACTCAAAATAAATTAATAAAAAAATAAAATAAAGTAGATCTTAACTGGAATGCCTGTTGGATACATCACACTGTATTTCCTAGAGAGATTTCTCAAACTTAACATGTCCAAAACTGAATTCATTAGCTTTTCCACCAGACTTATCCCTCTTCCACTGGATCCCTCCATCGCTTACCCCACACCTTCAGTCAATTGTCAGATCTTGTCATTTCTACTACCAAGATATTTCTTGCGTGTAACTCCTCTCCATTCACCTTAGTTCAGACCCTCATTGACTCCTGCCTAGGTTTATTACACAGTCCTTCTACTTTGTATCCCTTCCTCCAGTCTTTTCTCACTCCAGTCCATCCTCCACATTGCTGCCAAGGGAATTTCCTTTTATCACAACTTTTTCCACGTCTCTCCTCCATGCAATAAATTTCAGTAGTTTCCTATTGTTCCTAAAACCAAATATAAACTCCTGCTTAACTTTGGAAGCCCTTCCAAACCTGGCTTCAGCCTCTTTTTTAAGGCTTATTGATCATTGCTCCCTCCCTTCCATTCTGTGACCAAGGCCCAACTGGCCTTCGCTTGGTTCCGTCACTTTCCATCCTCTGTCTCTGTGCCTTTGTATTCACTGTCTTACATGCTTAGAAATTTATCGTATCCTCACATCCAACTTATAGCATCTCATGCTTCCTTCAAGATGCAGCTCAAGCATTTCCTGAGCCCCTGAAATGCCCTCCCTCCCAAACTATCTTGTATTTAACCACTTTGTATTTATTTGTATTTTTTTTATATTTGTTTTTCACATACTTCTACTTTTGTTATCTTTCCAAGTGGAATATAAGCTGCTTGTTGATAAGGACCTTTTCGATAATTTTATTATTGTTAAGAATAATACAGCACTACTATCCTTAAGGATAATATAGCACTACTAGGCACAGTAGGTACTTATTAAATGCTTGTTGATTAATTGAATCGATGGTTAGTTCCTTCAGATAATCTATTTTGAAGACAGAGTTATTAATGATTATGAAATAGCCTGAAACACTGCAGACCCTCCTGAGTGAATTCCACAAGCATTCAAAAGTGTTTGGTCTAACTGCCCACATAGGAAAAGCTTAGTCGATGAAGACTACCTGTCATCCAGATTGTGATGAATGAACACCTTGTTGAGCTCTTCCATCAGTACATGAATGTTGGATAGACACTACATTTAGGCCATGAGTTGTCTAGCAGTTGTCTAGATGGAGAGAGACAGACAGATATAGATGGATAGGTGAATGGAAAGATAAGCATTTATTAAGTGCCTGCAGTGTGCCAGCACTGTGTTAACTAAATTTTGAGGATATAAATACAACCAAATATAACAGTCCCTCCCCTCAAGGATTTTATATTTTAATGGGGGAAGATAGCATGTAAAGAGGACCTGGAAACTCAGGGATAGAGTAATGAAAAGTGTACTTAGATAGGGTCATAGCAGCTGGCCTGGATGTAGAAAAATTCAGAGAAGGAGTTGAGCCAGGAGTCAAGTGACACAGCTGAAGTCCCTCATGAAATAAGTAGGATACCCACCAAGTAGGACAGTGGGACTCAGGGCAGATGTTTCTCCAGGGTGGAAAGGCAGGTGGCAAAGAGGTGAAGAAGTCCAGAGAGGTGAGTCAGCTTGAAGTATCCAGGATTGCCTTCAGGAGATGATGTGTGCTTTTAATGACTCCAGACTTCTCCATGAAAAAAAAGGCCCAGCTTTCAAAAATCAATCACCATCCATTAAAGCTAGGTGGCTGCAGTGGATGGGAGAGTCCCCAATGAATGGAAGCTGCAAGTAACCCAACAAGTGGGAAGCAGTCAGCACCCACACAGTGTTATGAGATTGAGAGAGAAGCCCTTCCTTTTCAGATGGACCCCACAGAAAATCGACCAGGGCACCTAGACAAGCATTGCTGAGGATGCGAGGGTATGAATCGGGGTAGAACTGTTGGTTCACATTAAGGGGGAAAGGAGGGGTCTACTTGGGTGAGATGTTAGACGGATTGAAGTTTGCCTCTCAGGAAAAAAGTAGACTTCCTAAAGAGTTTCCTGATTTAAAAAGACTGCTGAACCTCTTTCAAAACCTGCATTCAAAATATGAAATGTTTAAATTAATAAAATAATTCATTCAAAGGGAATCAGCACTAGAATAATTCTAACTCACTCTTTTTCTTGGAATGGAAATAAAGATCAAAGAGAGTATATAACTTGCCAAGGTCAGAAAGCTCTTAGTGGCAGAAGCCAATAGTACCTAAGACATCGCAGAATCAATGCCTTCAAATTGTGGTGCTGGAGAATACTATTGAGAGTCCCTTGGACAGCAAGGAGATCAAATCAGTCAATACTTAAAGAAATTAATTCAGGCTATTCAGTGGAAGGTCAAATGCTGAAGCTGAAGCTTCACTACTTTAGCCATATAACAAGAAGACAGGACTCGTTGGGAAAGATTGAAGGCAAAAGTAAAAGGGACAGCAGAGTTTGAGATGGATAGTGTCATGGAAACAACAAATGTGAACGTGGACAGACTTTGAGAGATATTGGAGAGTGGAAGGGCCTGGCATGTTTTGCTTCATGGGGTCATGAAGAGTTGGGCATGAGTGAATGGCTGAACAACTCCTGGCTCCAGGCTCAAGCTTTATTTCCCTCTGCCCCATTCCCTGCTGTCACACTAAGTGAAGTGACTCGTCAAGATTCTCATGGCGGAGGTTGGTGCTCACTTATTTTATTCAGTTCATAGAAGTTAGCTGTAGGGACACATGATTTTTTGTGTCATCACTGATCAAAAGTATAGTTTAATGGCCAACAAAAGATGACAATGTCAGATCTATTTAAAGGGTTTATAATTAATAGAGCCTAAAGTTCAGGCCGTACTGATGATGAACTAGCTATCTATCCATTGTGTAGAAATTACTGTATTTCCCTTTCTACTAATAGACATTTATCTCATTTGTGCCTGTTAGTAATTTACATGACAATTTACTTTCGATAATACCAGTGTCCAAATTAAAAAAGCAAGCATTTGTTTTCAGGAGTAATTTCTTTCCCCAGGACACTCAAGCAACATAATTAACATGTGTGTGCATAAGCACACACATGTATGTATACATCTATATTGCTTTTGCTTCTTCTGTTTTATTTCTAAGCATTTTGCAACTTTTTCTTTTCTAGGCGAATCCAATGAAAATGGAAGAATAAATCCTACCACGGACTCTGACAGAACTTTTATTTCCTACAGGTAAGACCTGTGTCTCTCATATAGTTCCTGTATACCTTTTCCTTTCAGTAGCAGTATTTAGCAGTGCTAAAGCTTTCTGTTTGCATTTGATAATATTTCCTGCTAATAAATATACTCAAGCTTTTATACTATTAGTCCACTGACCTCAAGAGAATTTAAAGAAAGCTCAGAAAGAATTCACAATAGTATTAAATGCTATTTGTCAACATTTCCTTTGGGGTTTTGTCAGGAAATAGGGCAGCATTATATTTTGCTCAGTGGCAAAATAATACACTGGTGAATAAAACATGTACCACTTGAATTTTTGTTAGTGTTTTCCTCCCAACTTGAATTTTGGTTGAGTAAATTGTTGAGCATGTGTATGTTTTGATAGAGAATGTAGGGGGGATAATAGATTTTTTTTCTCATACAACTGATAAAAAGGGTTAAATGCTGGATCTTAGTTTCCAGAAAATACAATTTAAATATTGAGATAAATTCTGAATGGCAGTAATACCTGAAAAATGACATTTAGTTTGCAGCCTTTTATCTTCATGAGTGATTGATTCTCTTGACTTATTTTTAATGGCAGTATAAATGTATAAATTTACTATGAAAGTATGGACTATGATCACAGATTTTATAGATTTAGCATATTTTAAGCAGTTAATCAGCAAACATTTATTAAGTACCTACAGTATACTAAGCACTATGCTAGATGAAGGGAATACAAAGAAAAATGAAAAATAGTCCCTGCCCTTGAGAAATTTCCATTTGTTCTGTTAACCAAGAGAACAGGTACAAAATTCGTATGAAATAAATACAAAGTAACTTTGAAAAAGAATTTCTGCCGTTAGGGGCATCAGGAAAGGATTCGTATAGGAAGAATTGTTTGCAGAAAGTGAGGAATTCTAAGAAGGAGAGGTGAAGGAAAAGTGCCATCTATGTAAGACAGACAGCAAAGGCATACGTGAGAGGTGTGATCCTGTGTGTGCCAGGACACCAGTTTGGATGGGTCATGTGAGTTGTCTAAGAGAGGGGTGTGTAATAACACTAGCAGGTAGGTTGGGGCAAAGTTGTGAAGAATTTTAAATGCCGAAAAAGAGGTAGAAATATACTACTGCTCATCAGCTTCTTTGTATTGTAATTACCACTATAGATTTTATTTCCCCATATGTTGTAATTATTTGTGTTTGTTTCTTATTTTAGCATTACTGAGATTATAAACTTCTGGTAGGCAGGCTACTCTCTTACACTTCCTTATGTCTCCCCCTCCTCCCTCCCAGTCTCTGGTAAATCTAGTGGGTGTTCAGTCTTTGACTAAAAGAATAAATAAAGGAGGGCTTCCATAGCTTCCCAAAATTCAGTTATTGTGTAAGCTCTCAATCTTCTTCCAACAGTAATGTAAACTGGAGTCCATGCATGTATCTATGATTTATAATACAAATAATTGCTCTACTGTCACGTGTAGCAGCTTTTCTCCTGATGAATCCTACTTAAAGGCAGCTAGATTTTGGGGTTTTGGTTGTATAATCCCTTTGCAATACTGCTCTTGAAGAATAACTTAACAATCATTAATGCTTTGGGTAGGTTAGTGGAGCCTTTATGGAAGGCCTTAGATTAAAATTATTAGATTATTACTGTTCTCTGGCATTTTTCACCTTTAGTATAGTAAAGTGCACCTTCATATACATAAGCCTGTTCAAACTACTATTCATGAAATGACAGTGACATGCTCACTGTGGGGCAACTCCAGATGGAAAACATCAGTGAAGTTTATGTCATGATGATGTCATTGTAGTTTTGCTGAGCTGATCATGTCTTATAAATGTAAGGTTAGAATCCTCCGGTTAGATTCTCTTAAGTTTTCTATATAGTACTGAGTGTAGTAATGCACACTAAGAAGGCAGCATGAGCTTAAGAGCCTGCAACCTCTATCCTGTCATCATCATCATAGCAGCTAGCATTTAAATGGCGCCTCCTATGTGCCAGGCACTGTGTTAAGCACTGTACGATCATTATCTCATGTGATCCTCACAACAACCCTGGGAGGTAAGTGCTATTATTATCCCTAGTTTACAGTTGGGGAAACTGAGGCAAGCAGCGATGAAGTCACTTGCTTAGGTCACACAGCTAGTCTGGGGCCAGATTTGAATTCACGTCTGCCTGGTTCCAGGCCTGGTGCTCTATTGACTGTGCCACTGAGCAGACTCATCATAATAGTCCCTGTCATAAATGTGTCCAGTGGTATGACACAGGGGAGTTCTTTAAGCATACGCCACTGCAGGAAGCTCTTAATGGTCATGAGGGAGCCATGCGCAGGCTTTACTATAGCTCAGCTAGCCCTGTTGAGATGGATCAGCATGCTTTGTGTCTTTAGGACTGCACTCGTGTCTCATTGAAAAAGGTGTAATTGAAGTCTCTGACTCCGCCATACTTGGACTGAACCACAATGGAAAGACAGCTGAAAAAGGAATCAGATGACTGACTAATAGTCCAGAATCAGTCACTAATTAACCATAAGAATGTTGGCATGTAACCACTTTCATGTGGCATGGTTTCCAGTCTTTCTAATGGAAATAATACAGACCATGCCCTATCACAGGATTGGTCTGTTACGTACAAAACCACTTTGAAAACCACAAAGTGGCATAAAAATGGATAAAAGTATTATTATTATTACTACTACAACTATAAAATCAGTAGTAACTAAAAAAGGAATTAGGGATGTGTTTAAACCAGAGTAGGGGGTTGGGGGGGAAATCCCATATATTTGTAAATTTTGTTGACAAATTATATTTTACTATATTGGTAGTTTTGCTAATTACAGTAAATAAGAGATATAAAGCACCCACTTGAGAGAAATGTGATAATATGAAAGCAGAGTATGAAGTTGCAGTTTCTTTTGTCCTTGTATAGTTTGAAGATTAAAGTATTTCAGCTTCAAGTATTACTGAATGATAATTGTGTTTTGAAAATGAAGGTTCCAATATAACTTTGCACAATAATACTAAAGTTGTTAACTAATATATTTTTAATCAATGCCTGTCATTGTTTTAGCGTTCGAACATTAATTTATCATGGTAATTAAAAAAGGCAAGATAAAAAGCTAAGGTAGTTCAGTATATAGAAACTGGCTTTTAATAGTTGGCAGGCCAGCACTGTTATTAAATAGTATTATAGTATTTAAGGTGTGAAATGAATATTTTCTGCTCGGTAGGCAATAGCTTCTCTAATATAATGAGCTTAGTTGTAAATTTGACACTTGGGTTAAATGCAGAAAAATTCATAGAAGCACAGCTCTGGGTTTTATTTTCCTATCAAAATTAACAGATAAATTGATACAAAGCTACACTATAATGACAATAGGAGGTTTTTTGTTTTTTTTTTTTTTAATAAAATCTAGTCTTGAAAATGGAAATTGTTTTGCTATTATCATGATTCTCTTAAGCTTTACTTAAACTTATTAGTTTATATTAAACTAGTAAACTAGTATATTTATATTATCTAAAATAATTAGAAAAATTTATATTGATAGTAGTTTGATATAATGTTCAGAAAGTTCAGGTTCTCTAACTGCCTTCCACTTTCTTTTCTAGTATTCAGGTAGGGGCTGAAATCCCATCTCCTTCTTGGAATTTACCTCAGCTAATTCAAAAACAATCCAATTAAGTGGTTAAGTCAAGCCATCTTCATCCTATCAAAGCATGCAAATTCTGTGGCTTCCTCTTTGCTTACCACTTTCACAAATACACTTAAACTTTTGCATATATCCAGTGCTAATCCTTAATTTATACTTGTTGGTCTCTGTGTTTATTGGTATTTTTTATTCATTCATTCATTTGTTCATTCATTTTCCATACTTGTATTTTCATGAATCCACAGAATTTATATGAAGAAACCCTCTCTGCTAATGCAGATTCACAACTATTCTGTAACTCACTGTCTTAGATAGTCATGTGGAGCACCCATGTTAAATGACTGGCTGAGGGTCAAACCTCCAGGATGTGGTGAGGTTGGCATTCTATCCCTGCATCACATCACCTTTCATTTATAAATCTATTCATATTAATGTTACCGTACATCAATGTATGTTAATGTTACAAAACCAGAAGATATAGCTCATGTCTTTTTAATAGTGCCTGCTTATAATGCTAATAATGATATATTATTAAATTGTGAGTACCAAGAATCCTTCCCATTTTGCTAACATAAACTACTTCTGAGTGGAAAAGAGAGAAGGTAAATTATGATAATTATGATAATAGCTAACGTTTTTATAGTGCCTAGTATGTGTTAAGTGCATTACAATTATTATCTCAAAATGATCCTCACAACAACCCTAGGAGGTAGGTGCTATTATTACCCCCATTTTACAGATGAAGAAACTGAGACCAAAGTGAAGTAACTTGCCCAGGATCACATAGGTGGTAAGTGTTTGAGGCGTGATTTGAACTCTGGTCTTCCTGACTCCAAGCCCCTCTGCTCCAGCCACTGTACCTAGCAATGGAAACTTCTGGTATGAAACTCTCAATCTCTAAAATATTACATGTGTAAACGTAAGAAAATTTAAGTACATACCTAAGAAAAGTGTATTTAGTTGTGTTCCAGTCAGTTTTTAGGTGCAGTTTTGGGCTTCCAATAAGATTAGTTTGGAGATGTGTGTTTAAATGAATAATTATAACTCTGAAAAACAATGAGTAAAGCATTAAAAAGTTGAATGATCCTATTGATACAATACTTGGGTTTTTAGACTAATATGTTTGCCCTCAAATGCCATTGTAGACTAGGTGATTTAATTTGGATATAGTTGTTTTAAAACCTGCTATCAGATAAGAATACAATTTCCTCTAACTCATAAAAGTAATGCTTGATTTCTAAGTGAAATGTGGATAAATAGAACAGATTATTGGAGGTTGTTACTGAAATCTAATCTTAATTCTTTTCACTTTGTTGCAAATTAGTTGTTTTGCAATTAAAAAGAAAAAAAACTTAAATCTAAAAATGTGCTAGTTTTCTGA